ACATTTGGCATGGTAGGCTGAGGTTGCATGACAATGATTGATTAGTAAATCTGATGAATTGTATTAATAATTGAGGGTTAATATAGTCCAACAGACCATTTATGATTTACACCAGTGTTCACTTCATTCGCCCAGAATGCGTTTTGCTACCACACACGCGCATTAAAGAAGTCAGAGGTAAAGTTCAAGGCGTCTTGAGCAGTTTCTTTAGCGCTGACAACGTTCTTGAAGACGGCAGTGGCCACCTCGCACTCTTTATTCTTCGGTCTTGCAGGAATCTAAAGAGAAAGAAGAGAATAGCAGCCTCTTAGTGGTCATTAAGGTCAGCAAGGTCTTACAAATGTATCAGACCACATAAAGGAGCAGTGTGTACACTGTAGGGAGATATATTATTAGCAATGGTATATAATATTCATAACTAAGTTTTCATCATCTGGAACTTCGAAGCGTTGTTGTCTTAGCATAGAATAAGCCCTTCATATCTACGTATGGAGCTGGGCCTCTTCCTCGGAGTCCACCGTGTAGCGGCGCCGTGTTTCTACAGGAGCCCAGAACGGACAAAACAAACAGCCTCCAAATATGGACTTTTTGTATTTTTGCATGACCCGAAGGTCACCATAGTTCTCCAACACCGCTGTGCACCACTATGGTTTCAGATGGTTGCAATCTGCAACTCACCACGCGATGCCACAAACACACTGCTCCTTTAAAGCGACACGCAACAACAGATACGACGTATTCACCTTTCAGCAAAAACTGAATCTCTTAGTACAGACTTACATTTCCCTCTAATGTAACTCATACCAATTTGATATATTGAATTTTGTTAAGTTCTTCAGATTGATGCAATCCTTGTAGATACATGAGGGTAAACTGGGGGTCAGAGTAGTGTCAATAGATTTCATTGAGCTGTGTTTTGTCTCGACTATGTCACTGGGCTTAGACGGGAGACGATGCTCCATGAACATTTCAGTGATCGTGGGAGCATTAGTATTAGTATTTGTCGTATAGATGTGCAAGCTTTTGTGAATATTTTTACGTAGATATAAATATAACACACAATTGACAGTTTGGTTGGTCTAATATGGCCAAACATGCAGGTTGCTGCTTAATCTAAACAGGGCAGTTATCGCACTTAAGATGATCACTTTTGCACTGCTAAAGTCATACCTGGTTGCACACTGCTTTTCCGTAACGTACAAAAGTGGCAAAGTGCTCGCAGTTGAGGGTGAAGAGTTTATACTGGAAGTCCTGATCAAGAAGGGCGTCACACCGTGGTCTCATGTGCTCGGGTGCTGATGGTGTGAAGGTGTGACGGCTGTTACTGATAGAGATGCGGACACCCTTCGGGACATTCACCTCACCAAGAGGCACTCTGCGGATCTTGGTCTCCCCGAGAAGAAGGTCGCCACAGACCGGGAAGATTTTTTGTAGGTAAGTACGTATGTTGTTCATAAGTTGCCTCTCATCTGAAGAAAGAGACAAGATATAGAAACATGTATCCTTTAGCTTTTATAGCACTGATAAATAGCAACATTCACCAAACCAGTCATGCCCTGAAAATAGTGTTTTATAGTTGCTGGAACTGAATTCATCTACAAGCCAAGCTGCCATTATATTCAAGTTTTTCAACAAACAAGGGCAGAACAAGTGTAAACCTGTGTTTTGGTGTATTGTGTATTTTGTAAAGGGTTAATGATTGAGGGCCAAACAATGGTGATGGTAACAGGTTTTTGAAGCTTTGTTCCAAAGTGGATCTTTGGCATTTTGGGTTAATTTAGCTGTAAATTGCAAGTGAGAAACTGGAAACATTGAATGCAAACTCTGTAAAAAAAACACACACAATTGATCACATGACATTGTTCAACAATAGCAGGCCGAGTGCAATGAGCTACACTGTTCCGGCAGGAGGCCTGCACACAAACGGTCGTATATTAAAGCAGTTAGTTTATCAGTTAGTGGAGCTCTATGGCCCACAGGGAGAGGATGTATCAGCCGTCAATACACACAGTACTTGTTAGTAGATATATTCATTGTTGGTTGTGGGCTTCTCGTGGCATTTGCTAACAAGAAAGACGTATCCTTTAATACTAATGCTTTACGAATCAGTTATAAGAAGAACTTTTTGGATTGCCAGGTTGTGAAAAATGTCTTTGGTTTGACTTTATCATTTAGCTCTTAAGATAGATAGAGATATATACTAT